TCTTATTGAGAAGATAATTATATTTTTATTATAAGTAAAACATGTATAAATTATCTTATTGAAAAGATAATCATATTTTTGTTAGAAGTAAATCTCATATACATTACCTTATTGAAAGAATAATCAGTCGTATAATCTCTTGAAATTATAAAAAATTAATAACTGCCATGAACACAGTCACTATTACCATTTTAAAATAATTACATACGCATAATCTTAAAATGGTAACAATATTAACAAAATGAATTACAAGTAAAATAAAATAAAATATTTTATTTATATTAATTTTTAAATTTGTTATTATTAAAATTATTAAATTATAAAAATATAAAATAAAATAAACAAAATATTAAATATTATCCATTATAAAAAAAGATTGCATTATCTGAATAATTTATTTAATTAAAAGCATTGATCAAGTTGAAGTTATCTATTTAATTATTTAATTTCTTACTATATGTTAAATTCTCGAGTAATTACCGACATAAAAGTTGTTAACATCCCTAATATAGAAAGCATTATTCGCAGATTTAAATGTGAAATGAATTTTCAAATCCCACATTTATATAATAAATTATCACCAGATATTTTGATTTTCAACCTTTCTGCCTCCATAAAATCAGATAATAACAAACATCCCTAACACAAAATTGCAACGATTGAAACGAATATTTTTTTAAAATGAAAAAAGAATCGATTCAAATATTGTCTCACCTATTCTTTTTTTTTGCTTGCTGACTTAGTATTACTCACTGACTCATTGACTCATTTAATTGATGAAGCTTGCTCCACATAAAATTACTATATTTTCTCTCATAAAAGGAAGACGATACTACATAAAATATTGGATATATATAGGTAGCTACATAATGATAAGTTGGTATGTATATATTTCTCTGCCATTCATCAAGTCAGCTATTCAACATCATCTGCTTGTAATGTATACTAATAAAGCAGCTAGTTGTAATAACGTTGGTGAATAATTAAATGAAATAATAATAAAAATATCTAAATTTCCGAATCTTTAACGTCAATCCAAATTATTCAAGGTAGCATGATGGTAAGTGGAACGTGAAGCATAATTTGAACAATTTGAGCCTCCTTCACTGATATCAGAATCTAATAACGACGAAGACGAGCTCGAACTTTGCGTAACACCTTCGCTGCCATCTTCAAAGTCTACCAGCACACCTGTTGTCACATGATCAGCTTCCTCTGTATTTGTATCAAATTTCTCTTCCTCGGCTACTTCAATTTTGGCACCGGGTATTTCTTGTTCGTTTCTCGAACTTTCTAATGTACGTGCAGGCGTTCTATACACCTCGGCTTTCGCTTTTTCCCTCTTTCTGATTCGACCTTGAGAATCCCGTTCTAAGGTTAAACTCTCAACGAAATCAATTACAGGCAATCTTGCTACTTGGCTGCTGATACTTGCGATACTGGGAAATCGTTCAATGTCAATCCGCGAGCCAATGTTTAGTATTGGCACGGTGATACCGTGAACTACTACTGAACTTAACACAATGAATGCAACAATTGGAAAAACGCGCTCCTTTGTATGCAACAAGCCCTTTTCGTCGATATCATCTAGAGGATATTCCCGTAAAGTTTTTTCGATCTCTTTTTCAACAGTGACCGCTAGGAAAATCGCGCCAACTCCTATTGGTCCAAAATAACCAGCAAATAACGCTTCCTTAAAAGTATGTATTGCTGGAATAAATTTCTTTAGTCCAACAACGATGGGTAGACGACGAAAAATTAAGACGAGGACACTAATTGGAACGAGATGTCTTAATGACAATGTATCCTTGTAAAAAGATGACCAGGGCAACATTGTTCCGATATATATAAATGTCGTAAGATTGAGTAACAAATCAATTACGCCTTGTAGATGTGCATCTCTCATCTCTTCACGAAACCAGTCACTTGAACAAACAAACAAACAAAAAAATGTGTAAGGCGCAAGAAAGTTGTAGAATGTTCATAATTATGAATTCCACTTACTCCCAGGCGAATGAAGTCCCAGCCACGAAACAAGCCAAAAGAGCATCAGAGCCTAAAATACCAACAAATCCGACTGTAAAGATCTGAATTATAAAATGGTATTAGTGATTTAGGCAAATTAGCCATATGCGATCTACTAAAGAATATTTTACTCACAGCGAGAGCAAAAGAAAATGACAAGAATGACTCTTTATCAATCCAATCACTGAATGAAGCACAAGGCCAAAATTAGTTTATAAGAATTTTAAAATAATTGTGGTGAATTAACGAGAACTTACTTGTTTTCTGCCATGTGCAGCAGTTTTCTCGCTGACCATCCGATCAGAAAGCCAAGTAGAATTGAGAAAAGTATATGATATCCCCAAACATAATATATCCATTTACCAATAGCCGAACCAGGATTATTTGGCGCCTGTAGAAGATATAAAGAAAGAAAAAGAAAAGGAAATCCCATTCCTAGACCAGGTAAAAAATTCAATATTAATCACTGATTGTCTCCTTCCTTCTTTACGGATTCACATTTATTGATGTCACTCACCATCATTAGCTCCGCTTTCAGCTGATAAAAGATGTCGTATTTGTGTTGGAATGTGTTTTTCAGCAAATGATCCTTGAACTACGGAGTTTGCCAATATCTAATATAAAAGATAACAAAACGATCGTCACAGGTCAGAAAGGATGCATCTAAAAATGTCAGCTTTAAAATAAATGTAAAACAGACGGGATCAGTAGGCGTGATGCAAGATGCGATAAGTAAGGTTTCAGTCTATAATACATATAAAATTGGTTAGTTTATATGAAACTTCAAATAAACAAGATGTTAAAAAATTATGAAAATCCTCTTACAAATCCTGCGTCAGGAATGAAAATATATATTATAAACGCACTCACGATCCACATAAAAATCATAACAGGAAAGAGCATTATGAGCATCGAAGCAGCGTGTCGCGTGACATATGTTCTATGAAAATTCCTAATTGATTTAATTCATTCCATAAATAACTCCTGTATCACAATGAAGCAAGAATTATACCTTGGTAAATTCACAGCTGCAGCCATTACCTAATCAAACAGGAATTACGAACGAATCAGTAAATCAATTCAATTTATATAATCAACAAAAATATTGTAACTTTTTACTTGAATAGCGAGCACAATACGCGTTAATTCTTCTGTTATAGCATCTTGATACTCCCATTGAGTAGGATCAATAAGATTTAAGCAAGCAGGGCCTATTAATAATCCTAGGAGGGTGGCTACCACTTTTTACGGCAAAAATGATTTTCTCAGCAAGATTTCTTTCAATATTAAACAATGTGAACTTAATATTTCTTTTCTTACGGGCTTCACTGAGATATAGTTTTTCTTTCACAATTAATGACACCAAGCCAAAGATTACAATAAAGCCACCAAGTACTGTGTAAGCTATAAGAGCCTCATTTGAATCAAGAAGTTGTTGCATCTTCAAACAATCCAGAGTAAAAAAAAGACTGGATTATGTTTTTATATTATTATTTTTCGCATGTGAATTGATTAGATAATAAAGTGCTTGTGCGTAGAAATTTAGCTATTTTTCATAATACGAAGTTTCTTATACGTCATCAAATTTAGTTACGTCGTTGTGACGAAAGAATATGCATTTTACCAACAAAAGAAAAAATCGCATATTCATATGACAAAAACAGTAATGGAACACCCAATCTTCTGCTCATCAGTTCAAGCAATGCTTTAATTAAACCATAATTTCTCCAAGTTGCAAATAATATTTTAATCCTGAAAGTTCGGAATAACCCGTGATTTGAAAAACAGAGAATTCTGTTTATGCAGAATATCAAATCATCCAATTGAAATTCGTGATCGATTATACCCAAAAACGTCAAATTTCATTTTTTTTGAGATCGAATATTTCAAGAACGATCGAGCTAAAAATTTATAAACAAACTAAATTTATAAAGGAGAAACATTTTTATTAATAGATCAAAATAGATTTTGTCAAATTTTTCTCTAGAAATGAGAGTTCATATTAAGGATAAAGAATTGGATGCTAATATTACAACGCATTCAGTGACATATTTTTTTGGTTGCTTTAAACATTTAATATATTCTGAACCAATTTTTAAATAATCCAGGTTTTTCATGATTTACTAAAACTGATAAAAGTTTTTATTAATAAAAAGTTTCAATTTCTAAAATTTAAATTATATAAAAAAAGGCTCACTTTGAACCAATTCATTTACAACCACAGTAAATGAATGAATTAATTAATTAATAAAAAAAAGGTTCATCACAAACTGATTTATCTATCATTATGATAAATAAATCAATACATATAAAAAAAAGAAAGGTTCATTACAAACCGATTTATCTATCATCACAATAATAAATCAATAGAATATAAATACATATAAAGAAATATTTGTTTTTCTAAGTTCTACTGATATTATATATTCTTTTTAAAATGATATGCTGTGCTTTTGGAATGTACAATTTTAACTTCATGATTAGCACTCTAACATCATAATCATGATCCTATAAATTCAGGTATTATATTAGGACAGACTTTAAACTATGTCTATAATATTCACATACAAGACATGAATCTATATATATTCAAAAAGATGTATACCAATTAGATTTTTCTGAAAGTAAGATATTCTGGATAATATACAAGCTTTTTTGTAGATTTTGTATTTATTGTAGATTTATTAGAAGTTTAAGACTTTTAATAATATTTTTTTAACTTTTTGATAGATTTTCTAATATTATTATTTATTTTTGAATGATTATTAATATTATTCATGCATGAATATTAATTTTGAAGTGATTTATTTTCAAAAATTATAGTTTTAATTATAATTACAATAATAATAATATTATTTTTATATTTTTTTATTAATATTTATAATATGAATAAATTATTTTTTAGAAGTTCTTATATAAATTAAAAGCATATTATTTAATGTTAAATATTTTCATATTAAAAAAAAGAAAGAAAAAAAAGATATAATTAATTAATTTTCTTGAACCAAGAATATAGTATTGACATACAATGACCATCAAAAATAATGCAATGCTTAAATTTTTTATTAATTATAATTAGTAAAATATGTGATTTTCCTTATATATAAAAGTTTTTAATTTTACTAACAAATATTTTTTATTTTTATCTCAAAAAATAGTTAAAGTTCTCTAGTTTAAC